TTTTAAAAAAATATTATCTATCTCAAAATTTTATCTATGAAATTACTTTTTTTTATAAAAAAAATACTCCTTATAAACAAATTAATTTATCACAACTCTTTCTAATGATCACTTGGACCAAAATTTCCTACAAAAAAAAAGTTAAGTTTGGATACTGGAGAAGTAGAAAAGACCTGTAATAGGTGAACAACAGTGCAGTTTTTATAAAGATCAACCTTTCGTTTACTTGTGGAGACTTCTTTATATATTTGACATGCAAGCTGAAAGCATCTTTATACAAGATAACTGGCTGGGGAAGTGTGCCCTTGTATATAAAATTTTGGTGAGGATTATAGTGTTTCTCCATCAACGAAACAACCTGTTGCGAAATAACTAGGGAACAGTGAAGAACTTGCTATTTTCAAGCCACACTCTTTTATTTGAACAAGTGACTCCTCTCTTACTTACTTCTACTCTCCTGCCGGTTTTCCAAAATTTTTTCAAAAAAAGTAGGGATTTGGCTTACCCTCTCCAAAAGATCAGCATTGTTTACATTCCAAATTCGGATAGTCCATTAGACTGCAACCACGTGTTTTATAAATACGGCGCCTCTATACAGGATCAGGTTCTGGATAAGAAACCCCTAATAAGGAAGAAAGTACTTCTAATGGCGGCAGCAGGTGGCTTGAAATACGGGTTTACAGATGGCAACAGCACCTGGCTTGAGATACAGATTAGGATGAGCTGGAGCGAAACTATTCGGAGTACATCGAATGGTCAGAAAGAAAAACCCAAAGTTAAGATGAAGCTTTACAATAGAGATATACAAACGTTGCATATAGTATATAATTTTTTTAGCTTTGCACAGGTTATAACAGTGCACCCTTTTCGTTTTCTTTTTCTAAATGTATGTCATGATACCTTGTCTCTTTTTGTGCTTTTTCCATCTTTGTCTCTTTATAATAGAATCAAATTTAGAACATACTGTTCTTAATATGTTTTTTTTTTTTTTTTTTCTCTTTTTGTCTCTTTTTTTCCTAAATTTTGTTTTTCTTTGGTAAATTTGGCATATGGTATTCCTTTATAGAAAAGTAAAAGATAAACTATTCTGCTCAGATCTAGGCGAGAAAAGTTTTCAAGAAGGGATAGGTAGTCATGATGGGCTAGTAGATCCCGGCCGGTGAATTGTGAACTCTAAATCTGAGGCAGATTTAGATAAGCAAGGAGGTTGCTTCTGCTCTAGCATGTTGCACATAGGTCCAATTGGAAACTGGGTGAATCGCACTTTAGTACAAAGCAGCATAGCTGTAGTGGTAAATTCAAATATAAAAGTTTGTAATATCTACATTTAAGTAATAAAGTTGTGGTATGACTGCTTGTTTGCAAAAAAAAAAAAAATACTCCTTATAAAATTTTACTATATAGCTTTAGTTTTTTAATTAATCTTTTTTGCTATTTTTATCTTTTAATTTAGAAGGTCTAAAAAAAACTATGGCTTGTTTCTAATATATTATTTTTTTAAATAACAAATTTAATTTTTTTTTTTAATATTAGAGTGTAGCATCTGCTCTAAACTTTTATTAATACTTAAGCAGGTTGATATACAGTAGTGCCAAAATACATACATATTTCATATCAGAACTAGGACCAGAACTTTAGATCTAAAACCATTTATCTATAGCTAAAACCTATTAGAGCCATCAACACTTTCACATATATAATTGATTTGGATTTATATATTCCTTTCCAATTGCCAATTAGTATTCATATGTTTGCCACTTTACCTATATACTTAATATCTTAACTTCCAAATTGGTGTATACCAAGTAAGTACTTATTGATTCCAGTTTGGTGTGCTTGATCTTAACTAGTGTACTTTCAGAAGTTCGTATCTCAAGCTATGCAGCAGCCTCTGCCTAATCAAGTAAGTATCTCAAGCCTACATGCTATCATAACTAGCTAGTTTTCTGTAACTTTGGGATCTAGGTCTTAATGTTTTGAATTTGGTAATATACAAATAACTATACTTCCCAATATAGCCAGGCATGTTTTGCAAATACTTCTAGTACCTGATATAGTTGGATAGAATCATGAGATCTAGGGGTTTTTAACAGGTGTATTATTGTTTCTATTTATAGTAGTGTTTCGATCTGTAATCCGACAATTCAAATTGATTTGATAATTTGGATTAAATATAGATATTCTAATCCATTTATTTTAACAGATAGATCTATAATAAATATCGAATTAAGGATAAGGATTATATGAATCTTTATCCTAGATATATATAATCTGAATTGCTGTAAAATTTAAATGCTACTGTAATTCACCAACAAGTTCACTTCACTGACAGTTTATTTCACTAACAGCTCATTTCACTGACAAGTTTTTTTATAAATTATACTAACCTTAACTCTAATTCTAACCTAACAATAACCAGAATTACTTTGTGAAGTAAGCTATCAGTGAAATAAACTATTGGTAAATTATAGCTGTTTTTATAAATTCTAAGACAGCTAAAAAATTTTTTGATGACCAAATACCAAACTGGAATCAATAAGTTACTGATGTGGCTATATCAAAAACTTATTAATTTAGTTATAGGCAATGTTTTAAGTGTTTTAAAATTTATAAAAACAACTGTAATTAAATACTGTAAAGAAGATCCAAATTTAATCTAAATAGTCTTCTAAGAATAGAATCGAAACACTATATATTAGATGCTTATAGCTATTCTCATAAATTTTGGGACAAACTAAAAAATTGTTGTTTTCTGAAATCTCTTTAGTTTTATCCCAAAGGTCATCTAACTCTTCAGAATCACATTATTGATTTCAGAACTTCAGTCTAGAAATAGCGATGTATTTTCTGAAGAGTTAGATGATTCATTAGATAAGATCTTGAAAAATGATCAATTTTTAGTTTGTCTCAGAATAGCTGTAATTACTAGGATTTCTATTATTGAATTCGAATTGAATCCAAATTTGTAATCCCAATTAAAATTTGAATAAAGCAAATATGTTAAAGAGGATCCGAATTTAATTTGAATGGCCTTTTGAAAATAGGATCGAAACACTAATTTATAGTGATTCTTGGCAATTGTAGTTACTGCTGTATTTACTTATACTAGCTATACCTGTATTGGTGGTCTCAAGTTTTTTTAATATTTGAAAACTTCTATATAGGTATGACCAGAGCCTATTAGATTTATTAACATATACATGCCTCTATGTTTTAACTTCTTATTGGCTAGTAAGTTTCATATATGCTATAGGTGTTCCAAATTTAGTAAGGCCAATTCTTTACCACAGGTTTCTTTGTGTTTACCACATTTTTTACTACTTCCAATTCTGATTACTACCTGGTCATCTTTTTAAACAAGATCCCTAATGCCACCTTAGGAGTTGTTGGTACTACCTTGCCAATCGCAAATTTATATATACAACTTTTGGTAATAAAACCTTCTATAACAACTACTCTACAATGAACCTTCTTCTAGAAATTTCTAATCTGAATTTGTATTCATAGGTAAATATACCTACTAGGACTTGAACCCAAAACCTACTTATAAAGAGTTGGGTGCCTAGACCACTAGGCCGTGAGATCCCAACTTTGAAAAATAACAAATTTAATAATCAGATTGGTATACAGTATATATAGTATTTAGTTAATCTAATGATGTTTTTCTTTTAGATCTTCTTTTTTCAGAATTGGCAATTTGGTTAGGATTTATTATTGTTTAGTTTTTCAGTTTCAGTTCTCATTTCCAAATTTGGTTATTCTGTATTACTATTAAAAGTTTTTGGTACTTCTTATTTAGATCTTTTCAAATAAGTTTTTGATTATTCTGGTTTTTTGGTTTTTATATACACCAAGCTTCCATTCTAGATTGTGTTACCAAGATTACAAATTCTAGATTCAGCTGATTATTAGATAATCATTAACTGTGATACTAGCTATTATTAAACTTATCTATAAAATTCAAACTCTGGATTTGCTATTTGATAAAATAATAACTACAGTATATAGACCACTTTACTAGATTGCCATGTTTTATTAAATTATATTTACTTTTTTGAGTAAATAAAAATAAATATTTTTTTTGCCCAAATTTATATATAAATTGAACAATTATTTCATTTAATTTATATTTAATTTAAGTTTAAAAAAACATATCTCTTATCTATTAAAAAATTATCTTTTGTATATTAACAAACAAAATCTTGATATAACTTTGCCTACTAAACCTAATACTAACCAAACTAAAATATTGTATTTAAAAAAATATATATAGTATAAAATACAGTAACTCTAACCATATAAAAGTGTTAAAAGAAATTAGTAAATACACTATATAGTAAATAGTACTTCAACTTTCAATATATCTATTTTTTATTCGCGTAATACAATACAGTATAATGCACTAGATTTCTTAAAAAGATACTTGCTACGAAGCTATTTTATTGTTAAAGTGTTGCATCATTAGTAATTTTTAAGTTTGCTTAGACCCGAAAATTCTAGTTTTTACAGTATATATACTATATACTAAATAAAATACATCGATCCCAGAATTCGTTACTCTGATATATAACTATATATATGCTAGATAAAAAAAAATTTTTTATAATAAAATAAAAAAGGTTTTGAAGTATATATTTCCTTTTCACTATCAAAATTATTATAAAATATGTATTGTATATATTTAAAATAATCGCTTATTATATTGAAAGTTCATTATTTACAAATTATTTAAATACTGAAAAAAAAAAATATATTTATAAATTTTTTGTACAAATCGATTTAACAAAATACAGTATATGTATAATAATTCTTAAAAATATCTAGCATAAACAAACAAAATAGCTAATATTATGAAAAAATAAAATATTTAAATTCAAACAAAATTAATTACTTTTGTTAAACTATTTTAAAATCAACAAAATGTTAAAAAACTCCATTATAGCTAATTATTAAATAATCAAAGAAATAATATGCGATAATCATGTTGTTTTTTATTTGGGTTATAAAGTAGATACACATGCAACTTTTCCTTCTTCTACTAATCCTTGTCCAATTAGATATTGCTGTAAACTATCTAATAATTCAAGCTGTTCGGATGGTTTTAATGAATTAATAATGCTATGAAGCACGGTACCAACTGATAATGTTGTAGTCTTAATCAAATAAAAAATAAGTAAAAAATTAAATACAAGAAAAATAATATAATACTAAATAAATTACAAAAAAATAAAAACCTTAATAAAGCTCTGGTAATATATGTAAGAAAATAAACCCATAAGAAATTGGCAATCCATGCGATCAGTGATACCTCCGTGTCCAGGAATTGAATGACCAAAATCCTAATATATAGAAGTTAGAAAATCTTTAAATAATAAAATACATAAAATATAAAACATTACCTTTATATTAAATGCTCTTTTTACGCCACTAGCAAAAAAACCACCAAATGGAGCAATCAGAGAAGCAAAACAAGACATAACAAGAACATGCCATTGAAATGGAGCAATCCAAATTGTGCGAATATCAGTAAAAATCTAAAAAAAAAATTATTAGTATTATTATTTAATAAAAAACAGTAGTTAAACAACAAATCACTTACAAGTCGTTTAAGTAGACCAGATAACCAAGGACTAAGAACATATTTTTGAGAGATGAACACAGGGTTTGGCTCACAGGTCATACCAGACCACCCAGTAGCAGTGAGATCCTAAACAGAGATAAAAATGAAATAATTAGCTAAAAATAATAATATAATAATTATTATAATATAATAAATAATAGTACCCTGCTAACAGGACAAATCATATAATTCCATCTCATTAATAATGAACCCCACTATATAAAATTGACACATTATCAAGTATATAATGCAATAATAATAATAATAATAAAATAATAATAAATATATTAATAAAAATACAATAACAAAATATAATAAGAATAAAAAGAACTACTCACAAAGAAACCAAATATAACGGTGCAAATCCAAGCACCTACAAAACCCTCCCGAGTCTTTTTGGGACTTAACTTTATCAAAGGAGTTTTACCCCAAAAGAATCCACATATATAGGCAAAAATGTCATTGCAGATTACCAAAGATACGGGGAGTAAAAACCTAAAAAAAAAAAAATAAAGGATTAGATAAAAATAAACAATAAATATAGTTTAACCAAGTGATTCATACCAAATTAACCCTTCAAATATATTGTTAACTATGAAATGACTCTGACACACGACAATCAGTAAAGTCATATGTGTCCATGCGAATTGGGTGAATTGAAATTTGTAATGACCTTTTTTAAGATTTGCAACGAATAATACAAATCCTAGAATGAAATAAAAAAAATCATTAGTTATCACGTGGAAAAACGGTAACATGATAAACATAAGCTTACCTATACAATATAGAGTGAATGAAATGAATCGATGATGCGTAGCCAAAGGAAGGAGAAAAGCATCCACCAAAACAGCCTTCTTGAAATAATAAATTATGGATTCGCCGTATAGGAAATAATTAGTGACACCCAGAAAATACCTAAACATGATATTGAATATATGAGAATTTAAGATTAAAAATCTGAGAAATAACAGATGCATAAAAAATACATACCAATTGAGAGTTTTAAACCACGGTAGTTTTTTTTCCTTACTTGGTACATGTGCCAAAGCGATAACTTCTTTATATACAAGCGTTTGAATGATCACCACAAGAATAACGACGAATGAGTGTCCCGTAGACAAAAGGGCGAAAAAACCACCAATCATGACGAAAGTCCAGAGTGTTCGAACCGCCATGTTTTTCCATTTTTTTTTATTATCTTCGATCCCTTTCTCCTATATATTCAAGTAAAAGATTTCAATAATTTAGTAAGAGTTCTGAACAAATCACGAGAATAAAATGACACGCGTTATTAACATTGACGCTTTAGAATCAAGGAATTCACAACTGTGGTTATTTATGTATAAAGAAAAGACTTTGGTTTTACCACGCCATCATTATGGTTGGAAAGTTCATTGTCATTGTTTCCACCCTTTTCCTTCTTCCTCTTTGTCATTATTAAATGAATTTAACACGTATAAAAGGTATAAAAGAGGAGACCAATATTGCATACGAGATCAAAATTTGTTATTTAAAAAGTTTATAAGATATACGTATATATATATTTTCTCGAAGGCAGTTTAGCTTTTTGTAAAATAAGAGTCAGGTGGTAGAATGTATTTCGAACACGTTTTTTTAAAAGCCATATAAATTTAATTGGTTAGTCTATGACGCACATATGATCGAAATGCTCGTGTTTCTACGAATTCAATTTTGCAAGAACTGGCGCTAACAGCTAAGTAATAATAATAATAAAATATGTATAAAAATAATAGTTACATAGAATTTCTAAATTGATTATGAACTGTACGTATCAGGTATATACGTACGTACGTACGTGCGTAACGGTAATGCTAACACCAGATCATAAATTTAAGTTCCAGATTACTCTTTCATTTCATAACTTTCATTTTTCAGCTGTAATCAAATGTTACGATAAATATCGAGTATTATATTAACAGGTAAAATTATTTATGGGCATTAAATCTAAAATCTAGCCCGGTTCATACCAAGTTTAGACGTGAAATTTAACCAGTTCAATTTATCTTAACTGACATTAAAGATTAAATGAGAACTTAATCCACCATTAGTTCGAATTTAACTTGTCACTTGTGATGTCATTTCGGGATGTTTCTAGACATCACTGCAAAAAAAATTATTAACATTTCAAAATTAACATTTTAATACAGTATATACATACTGTATTGCTGAATATATATATTTTTAAAACCAGAATTATCTTTGTACGGCTACGTATATACTTTAAAAGTTTTTTACATTGTGAAAAATCAAATACATATTTTTTTTTATTTTTTTTTAATGGATTGGATTTAGATCTAGGGACTACCGGTAGCAGTTTTGGCACTGGAATTTTGAAACCCCACTGGACGTCCTAATTTTTCCAAAGTTCCAGTGGTTCCAGTGTGTGCATTATGTGCTACGATTTAAGCGATTTATTGTAGAAAAGCTTTGTCATTTAGACATTTGGAAGGCCCAAGGTACCTTTTTAACGTCACCTTCACGTCATATAAAACTTGGGTAGTGACATCATACGTCACCATTTAGATGGCATGCCAATTTTAACAAAAGGCATGCCCTGTGGCATGCCAAATTTTTTTGGCGTCACCATATACGTCACTGCTATATGCTATTTGACATTCTAATGTCTACAGCCTTAAGTCTAAAAAAAAATCACCCACCAATTCCTTTATTGACCTAGATGCTACACAAAAAATATATATTAAATCAATGTTAATATCCTTATAATGAATTATTTAATTCAGAAAGTGATTTTTAGCGTTTAAAATCTATATGCGGAATCTGACGGTGCGCAGATTGAAAATTCATTCTTCAAGCAAAATTTTCTTGGAATTTGCGAATTTTATTATTGTGTTATACATGTCACGCATATTTACAAAAATTATTGTTTTTCCGCATATTGAAACAAGATTGAATTTTAAACATTAACTATTAGTAATTCCTCATATCGATAATTACCTATCTTTCGGTAAGCTTTTGTATCATCTGGTATGATTTCTAATGCCTAACATTCGATAAGCTTATCTACAGTACACTAATTGTACGTATATAGTATATAATTACGAATATTTGATAGGCTTCATACTGTATATATAATTAGATGATGTCTATTTACTGTAGCTATAATTAACATTACTCATTTATAACAAATAGAATTCTGATTGGTCAGTTTGCGCATGATCCGCAAAGTGACCAATCACAACGTAATATTCAATTTACTTGATTAACCAATCACGCATGAAAATATTCTTATTTCCATTTAGGTATGCGAAAATAAGTGCGTATTTTTTTATTTGGACGAATAGTTTATAATTAATTGTTTTTATCTTTTTTATTTTTACTTCTTTTTTGTACAATAAGCTTTTTGATTGTGCTATTATATATTTTTTTTAATATAGTAAAAGTTAATAATATATATATATTATAGCTACAAAAAAAAGTAGTAGATTTTTTTTTTTTTTGGCTTACTTATATAAACTATTTAGTAAATTACAGTTTTTATATAATTTTTTTTTTTAAAAATATAATAATAATTAATCAACTCTTTCTATCAATCACTTAAACAAAAATTTTTACTAAAAAAAAACAGTACATTTGTTAGAGACATAGTAGTAGGTTCTTTTTTTTTTTTTATATTGCCAACATAAAAACTTTTTATTTTTATTAAAGGCTTCTCTTTAATGTATATACAGTTTCTAATTACATTTATGTTACTATTACTAGTCACCCAACATGGCATTATATTCCTTATTTTCCTATATTACTTTTCTATTAACTATTTTAAGCCAATTTCAAGCTAGGATCAGTTGGAGCAACCTACTATTACATGTCCTACCATGTAATTATTTTCTGTAATTTTCCTTTAATTAGTACATATTGACTGCCGCCATTGTGTTCATATCTCACGCCACCTTTTGGGGTGCAGCCATAACACAATTCGTATCTCAATTTTAACCTTTCTAATTAATCTCAATTATGTACTATATTACAAGATTTCTATTGTTACCTATTTTCGTACTTATTACACTCCCCTATCTTCTTCCTGTAGCAACTTTATAATTCTCCCAAATTGGTTCATTTCGGCAGTTTTTCACTCTTTTTGCTTCCATATTGGTGTACATAGCCTTCCATATATATTAATACTTTACGGCACGGCTAGATTTATCGAATCTCCAGTTGTTATCTGCAGTATACTACCTACTTTATACAATGCTCCCATAGTTGGTATGATTGCCTTGTAGCATGAGCGCCGAAGCTTCCTAGTATAACTATGTTATATGGGTGTACTACTGACAATCGTTTTACTTCCAGCTTGGTGATGCAAGGAGGCCTAGAACCTTGACTTATAGCGCATCAGTATGGCACCTATTAATGACATTGTGATATGCAGTGTTTTCTTTATTAGTTTTCCAATTTCCAATCTTGTATACCAGAGGTGTTCCTTTATTTGGTAA